ATCCTATCTCTGCTATAATCTTTTGTCAACGTCAATACTGCCTATTCTTCTATCCTACCTCTATATACCATCTAACGTCCACCCCACCATACCTGTTCTTCCATCCTAAGTCTATACCCTATCCTACATCTACCCTCTACTTGTTTCCAAGCCTACCTCTACTACACCCTACCTTTTCTTCCATTCTACCTCTACTACCATCCTACATCCATCCCCCACTCTACCCCCACCCTACCCGTTCTTCCATTGTACTCTACTACATCCTTCCTCTACTACCCTCCTACATCTACCCCACCTCCCTGTTCTTCCATTTTACCTCTACTACCATCCTACGTCCACCCCCACTCTACCCCACCCTACCCATTCTTCCATCCTACCTCTACTTACCACCCTACCTGTTCTTTCATTCTACCTCTACTACCTCTACTAGATTCGTACATCCACCCCACCACCACCCTACCTGTTCTTCCATTTTACCTCTACTACCATCCTACCTCTACTACCTTCCTACATCCACCCCACCCCCACCCCACCCTACCTGTTCTTCCATTTTACCTCTACTACAATCCTACCTCTACTACCATCCTACGTCCACCCCCACTCTACCACCCTTCTTCCATTCTACCTCTACTACCATCCTACATCCACCCTACCCCACCCTACCTGTTCTTCCATTTTACCTCTACTACCATCCTACCTCTACTACCATCCTACGTCCACCCCCACTCTACCACCCTTCTTCCATTCTACCTCTACTACCATCCTACATCCACCCTACCCCACCCTACCTGTTCTTCCATTTTACCTCTACTAGCATCCTACCTCTACTACTATCCTACTTCCACCAACCCCCACCCTACCTGTTCTTTGATTTTACCTCTACTACCATCCTACATCCACTCCACCCCCACCCTACCCATTCACCCATCCTACGTCCACCCCCACCCTACCCATTCTACCATGATACCGCTACTACCATCCTACGTCCATCCCATCCTACCTGTTCTTCCATCCTACGTCTACCCTATCCTACGTCTACCCTCTACTCGTTTTCCCAGCCTACCTGTACTACCACCCTACCCCTTCTACCTCCCTACGTCTACTACCACCCTTTCTGTTCTTCCATTCTACCTCTACTACCATCCTACATCCACTCCACCCCCACCCTACCCATTCTTCCATCCTACGTCTACTACCACTCTACCTGTTCTTCCATTCTACCTCTACTACCATCCTACATACACCCCGTCCCCACCCTACCCATTCTTCCATCCTACGTCTACTACCACCCTACCTGTTCTTCCATTCTACCTCTACTACCTTCCTACATACACCCCGTCCCACCCTACCTCTTCTACCATCCTACCTCTACTACCATCCTACCTCTACTACCATCCTACATCCACCCCACCCCACCCTACCCGTTCTTCCATTTTACCTCTACTACTGTCCACCCCACCCTTCGTCTACCCCCATTCTATGCCTACCCCCACCATACCTGTTCTTCAAGCCTACCACTGCTACTATCTTTCGTCTACTACCACCCAACCTATTTTTTCCAACATCTACCATTCTACGTCCACCCCCACTCTACCCCACCCTACCCGTTCTACCTCCCTACATCTACTACCACCCTTTCTGTTCTTCCATTCTACCTCTACTACCATCCTACATCCACTCCACCCCCACCCTACCCATTCTTCCATCCTACGTCCACCCCCACCCTACCCATTCTACCATGATACCTCTACTACCATCCTACGTCCATCCCCCACTCTACCCCCACCCTACCCCTTCTTCCATTCTACTCTACTACCATCCTACCTCTACTACCACCCTACCTGTTCTTTCATTCTACCTTTACTACCATCCTTCCTCTAATACCATCCTACATCTACCCCACCCTCCCTGTTCTTCCATTTTTACCTCTACTACCATCCTACGTCCACACCCACTCTACCCCACCCTACCCATTCTCTCCATCCTACCTCTACTACCACCCTACCTCTACTACAACCCTACCTGTTCTTCCATTCTACCTCTACTACCATCCTACCTCTACTACCATCCTACATCGACCCACCCCAACCCTACCTGTTCTTCCATTTTACCTCTACTCCCATCCTACCTCTACTACTATCCTACATCTACCCCATCCTACATCTACCCTATCCTATGTCTACCTTCTACTTGTTTTCCCAGCCTACCTCTACTACCACCCTCCCTGTTCTTCCATTTACCTCTACTACCATCCTACGTCCACCCCCACTCTACCCCAACCCTACCCATTCTTCCATCCTACCTCTACTACACCCTACCTCTACTACAACCCTACCTGTTCTTCCATTCTACCTCTACTACCATCCTACCTCTACTACCATCCTACATCCACCCCACCTCAACCCTACCTGTTCTTCCATTTTACCTCTACTCCCATCCTACCTCTACTACTATCCTACATCTACCCCATCCTACATCTACCCATCCTATGTCTACCTTCTACTTGTTTTCCCAGCCTACCTCTACTACCACCCTACCTGTTCTTCCATTCTACTCTACTACCATCCTATGTCCACCCCCACTCTACTCCCACCATACCCGCTCTACCTCCCTACGTCTACCACCCTTTCTGTTCTTCCATTCTACCTCTACTACCATCCTACATCCACCCCATCCCCACCCTACCCATTCTTCCATCCTACGTCTACCCACTCTACCTGTTCTTCCATTCTACCTCTCCATAACTATCCTACTACCTCTACTTGTTTTCCCAGCCTACCTCTACTACCACCCTACCTGTTCTTCCATTCTACATCTACTACCATCTTATGTCCACCCCTCACTCTACCCCCACCCTACCCGTTCTTCCATTCTACTCTAACCATCCTTCCTCTACTACCATCCTACATCTACCCCACCCTCCCTGTTCTTCCATTTTACCTCTACTACCATCCTACGTCCACCCCCACTCTACCCCACCCTACCCATTCTTCCATCCTACCTCTATTACCACCCTACCTGTTCTTTCATTCTACCTCTACTACCTCTACTAGATTCGTACATCCACCCCACCACCACCCTACCTGTTCTTCCATTTTACCTCTACTACCATCCTACCTCTACTACCTTCCTACATCCACCCCACCCCACCCTACCTGTTCTTCCATTTTACCTCTACTACCATCCTACGTCCACCCCCCCCCCACTCTACCCCCACCCTACCCGTTCTACCTCCCTACGTCTACTACCACCCTTTCTGTTCTTCCATTCTACCTCTACTACCATCCTACATCCACCCCACCCCCACCCTACCCATTCTTCCATCCTATGTCTCCTATCACCCTACCTGTTCTTCCATTCTACCTCTACTACTATCCTACATCCACCCCACCCCACCCTACCTGTTCTTCCATTTTACTTCTACTACAATCCTACCTCTACTACCATCCTACGTCCACCCCCACTCTACCACCCTTCTCCCATTCTACCTCTACTACCATCCTACCTCTACTACCATCCTACCTCCACCCCCACTCTGTGTCAATATTGTTTCTGAGATTTTAGAAGAACACATGTAAAGCTTCAATCAAAAGAGGGCGCCAGATGGCCCCATCGGTATTAAAAGCTACTCTCTCGTTACTATACCAATCTGACTGTACTATCCTTTGTCGTCTGACATTAAATGCCATCGAACTAAGCTTGAAACATGATGACAGCGGTGAAAGTTTGTAAATCCATGTAGGAAAGTGTTTGTAATACACCTATAACTCTATTATGCGTCTGCATACCGTGTTATGAACTGGAATTCACCTGTTTACTTTGAGAGTCAACTCAACGTATAGTCAGCCCCGCTCATGTAAGTTTGTGTAGTGTTACTTGCATGCAAAGCATTGAAATTCGAGATCTCTGTCTGAATTGTTTGCTGTGGTGTACAACATGCCTGACACTGTGTCTCCTGAGGGTACTGAGGGTACTGAGGGTGATTTGCAAGGGGCCCATTTCGTAAAGCCTTCTGTCCAACCCCCTGGTCATTTCCATGCGGCTGCGGGAAATGTAGGTCTAGTTGAAGGGTGGAAAATCTGGAGACAGCAATGGGACAACTACACTATTCTCACAAACCTCTCCAAACAACCAGATCGGTACCAAACTGCACTACTACTGCACAGTGTGGGACAAGATTGTCTGCGTGTCTACAACGGCATGAAGTTTGCTAATGCCGCTGAAAGTGTGAAATGCTCTGTGATACTGGATAAGTTTGATAAACATTTTCTTGGTGAGAGCAGAGAATTCTTTGAAAGATTCAAGTTCAATCAACGCAGTCAGGAAGATGGTGAATCTATTGAACAGTATGTGACAGCTCTGCGTACAATGAGTAAGACGTGTGGATTCTGTGACTGCATGAATGACAAATTGCTCGTTGATCGTGTTCTACTGGGAGTACGTGATGATCGTATGCGAGAACTACTCATCTCCAAATCTGATCTTGACCTCTCTACTGCCATTGATGTTTGTAAAGCAGTTGAAGCGACGTCTACTCACATGAAGGCGTTGAAAAGTGAGGAAATCAACAGGGTGAATCGAAAACCTTTCCCTAAACATGCTAAAACTGGAAGTGGAAAGCAGAAGTTTGTAAAGCAGAAGCCGAAAGAGCTCAAAAAGTGCAAGTTCTGTAATAAATCACACGAAATGAAGAAGGAATGCTGCCCTGCATGGGGTCAAAAGTGCAATGTGTGCCATAAGCCCAATCACTTCAAGGGATCTGCAGTGTGTACTTCCAAGAGTGTTCACCAACTCGAAGATGATGAGTACTCCTCCACTGAAAGCATCAGTGTTGTACAGATAAATACAGTAAGTCCTGAAGATGGACCAATTTTTTGCAACATGCTACTAAATGGTCGAAGAGTACAGTTCCAGTTGGACTCTGGAGCAACAGTGAGGTTCTCCCACAGAAGTTTCTGTCTGAAGAAGATGTAGTGAGAAATGAATGCATCCATCTCCGGATGTGGAACCACTCTCCGCTACTACGTGCTGTGGGAAAGTGCAAAGTCGTGACAAGGAATCCAGCTACTGGAAAAAAGTACAGGATTGACTATGTCATAGTTAAGGAGGATCTGACTCCACTGCTAAGCAAAACAGCTTCTGAGAAGATGCAGCTTATCACTGTTCACTACGAATCTATGGAAATAGTCCACAACATATTTCCTGAGAATGTCTGCAACCTAGCTCCTGAGAATCTTCACAAAGAGTATCCTGTGGTCTTCTCATCCTCTGTGACTGGTACTCTGCCGGGGAACGATGTTCATCTGACTGTTATGGATGATGCTACCCCTAGTGTTCGTCCTGCTAGAGTGATACCAGAATCCTTGAGAAGTATTGTGAAGGATGAACTTGATGCACTGCAGACAAGAGACCTGATTGAGGAAGTAAGTTCTCCAACTGACTGGGTAAGCCAGATGGCTGTTGTACAGAAGAAATCTGGTAAAGTGCGTGTGTGCTTAGACCCTAGACCACTCAATCTCGTGCTGAAAAGAGAACATTATCCTCTGCCTTTCTCGATGATATCCTGCCTCAACTGTCCAATGCAACGGTCTTCTCCATCTGTGATCTAAAAGATGGATATTTGCATTGTGTTCTTGACGACGACTCAAGTCTGCTAACTACCTTTGCAACACCATGGGGAAGGTATAAATGGAAACGTCTACCATTTGGCTTGAAGGTTAGCAGCGAAATCTTCAAAAGAGACTTCATCTAGCACTGGATGGTCTTCAAGGGGTACGATGTGTGGCAGATGACATCATAATCTGGGGTAACAGTGATGCTGAGCATGATACCCGACTACAGAGTCTTCTACAGAGATGTCAAACTGTTGGCATAGTCTTGAATAAGGAGAAATGCCAATTTCGACTGAAGGAAATCTCGTTCCTAGGCCACATAGTATCCAACTCTGGACTGAAAGCTGATCCATCCAAGATCGATGCAATCCTGAACATGAGTTCTCCAACCTGCAAGGATGACATCCATCGCTTACGTGGCATGGTCAATTATTTGGCCAGGTATCTGCCCAAACTATCTGATGTCATGAAGCCTCTCAATGACTTAACCCACAACAACTCTGCGTGGACTTGGGACTCCAACCATGACAAAGCCTTTAGGTTGCTGAAAGAGATGCTGATACAAGCTCCTGTGTTGGCGTTCTACAACCAAAGCAAGCCACTTCAAATCCAAACTGATGCCAGTGCTACAGGGTTAGGTGCTGTGATGCTACAGGATGGTCAACCAATAGCATATGCCAGTAGGATGCTGAGTGATCCTGAGACCAGATACTCTGTCATTGAGAAGGAGATGCTAGCAATAGTTTTTGCACTGGAAAAGTGGAATCAGTTCACTTTTGGTCGTAAGACAACAGTATATAGTGACCACAAACCACTGGAGTGCATTGTGAAGAAGGCCCTGGACAAAGCTCCCAAACGCCTACAAGGAATGTTACTACGCGCCATGGCGTATGATGTTGAAGTGAAATACCTTAAAGGGAAGGACAACATCTTGGCTGATGCACTAAGCCGTGCTTCTCTTCCGTATGAGAGCGGACAGCATGATCTAGAGGTGGTGAATGCTGTCAAACTCTTGTCTCTCCCTGATGACAAGATAGCTGAGATAAAGAGACAGACTACCCAAGATCCAACTCTCTCCCAGCTCAAAGACACCATACTTGATGGGTGGCCAGACAACAAGACAAAGCTTCCTTTGTCACTGACTCCATACTTCAGTTTCAGAGATGAACTTTCGGTGACTGATGATCTGATTTTCAAGGGAGAACGGCTGGTAATCCCTAAGCAGATGAGGCGACAGATCAAGGAGGAGTTACACATTGGCCACAATGGAGTCGAAGGAACTTTGAGAAGAGCCCGTGAATATGTCTATTGGCCAGGTATGAACAAGGAGATAAAGGAGTGGATCCAGACATGCGAGACCTGTCAAGAAAACTCAGTCTCTCAACCTGCCCAACCTTTGATGTCTCATCCTATCTCTGACAGGCCATGGTCAAGAATTGGAATCGATCTCTTCCATCATGATAACGAGAACTATCTCATTATGGTCTGTTACTACTCCAATTTCTTTGAGATAGAAAAGCTACAGAGGACGACTGCCCCCGCAGTTATCAAGCGACTGAAACGTCACATCGGACGCTATGGAGTGCCAGAGATCATTGTCTCAGACAATGGACCTCCTTCTCTTCAAGGGACTTTGCTGAGTTTGCCAAAGAGATGGGAATCAAGCATAACACCATCTCACCTCACAACAGCAAGGCAAATGGCAAGGCAGAGTCTGCTGTTAAGACTGCCAAAAGACTGCTTACCAAATGCAAGGACACTGGAGATAACGTTGATCTAGCCTTACTCAACGTTCGTAATACACCAACTCAAGGTACCCAGACCAGTCCTGCGCAAAGGTTCATGGGTAGACGAACACGTACACTCCTACCCACCACAACTCAGTTGTTGATGCCTGATCGTGACTCAGGACCTGATGTCGAGAAACTCAATTCAAACCAGAGACGACAGGAGAAGTATTTCAACAGAAATACAAGGAAGCTCAAGGATCTTCCACTTGGAGCAACTGTACGTGTGAAACCATTCAACCATAGAAAGAAATGGAAGAAAGCGGTGATCCTGAAGAAAATAGACGATCGATCATATGAAGTTCGCTGTGATGGTCAAACACTTCGTAGAAACAGAGAACATCTCAGAGCGACCTCATCCACGTCAGATACACTTGATCCTATTCCCAACATGTTTAACTGGGAATGCCAGGACAACAACCAACCCAAGGTGAGGACTACAGAGCAGCGTCAATCTACCACTACAAGTCCTGTGAAGTTTCGCGGTGATGGTACATCTGAGACGCTTGACGAGAACAACACAAGCTCGCTGAGACGTTCAAACAGACAACGTCGAGAACCGCATAAGATGAAAGATTTCGTAACATTTTGAACACTTAAAAAGAGAACATTCGCGAGATACGTGAATGACATCACTTCATCTAACTCTGTTTTGGACATTTGATTTTTTTTTAAATTTGAAGAAACTGGACTCTAAACACAATCCCAAATCTTCTGACACTATGAAGACTCACAAGAACTCAAAAGGACTCTGATATTTTTTGCTTTGAAATATTATTTGTGCAGTTATATGATTGTAAAAGATCTCATAAACCAATTTTTTGATATTCTTTAATCTTTTATCTGTTTTGGTACCAGGTTGATATTGACCTCCAAAATTGAGACATTCTCCGGCACAAAGCTCAAAGAGGGGAGGATGTGTCAATATTGTTTCTGAGATTTTAGAAGAACACATGTAAAGCTTCAATCAAAAGGGGCGCCAGATGGCCCCATCGGTATTAAAAGCTACTCTCTCGTTACTATACCAATCTGACTGTACTATCCTTTGTCGTCTGACATTAAATGCCATCGAACTAAGCTTGAAACACACTCTACCCCCACGCTACCCATTCTTCCATCCTACCTCTACTACCACCCTACCTCTACTACCACCCTCCCTGTTCTTCCATTTTACCTCTACTACCATCCTACGTCCACCCCCACTCTACCCCCACCCTACCCATTCTTCCATCCTACCTCTACTACCACCCTACCTCTACTACCACCCTACCTGTTCTTCCATTCTACCTCTACTACCATCCTACATCCACCCCACCCCAACCCTACCTGTTCTTCCATTTTACCTCTACTACCATCCTACCTCTACTACTATCCTACATCTACCCCATATAGTCTACCCTATCCTACGTCTACCTTCTACTTGTTTTCCCAGCCTACCTCTACTACCACCCTACCTGTTCTTCCATTCTACCTCTACTACCATCCTATGTCCACCCCCCACTCTACTCCCACCCTACCCGCTCTACCTCCCTACGTCTACTACCACCCTTTCTGTTCTTCCATTCTACCTTTACTACCATCCTACATCCACCCCACCCCACCCTACCCATTCTTCCATCCTATGTCTCCTACCACCCTACCTGTTCTTCCATTCTACCTCTACTACTATCCTACATCCACCCCACCCCCACCCTACCTGTTCTTCCATTTTACTTCTACTACAATCCTACCTCTACTACCACCCTACGTCCACCCCACTCTACCACCCTTCTCCCATTCTACCTCTACTACCATCCTACCTCTACTACCATCCTACATCCACTCCACCCCCACCCTACCCATTCACCCATCCTACGTCCACCCCCACCCTACCCATTCTACCATGATACCTCTACTACCATCCTACGTCCATCCCCCACTCTACCCCCACCCTACCCCTTCTTCCATTCTACTTTACTACCATCCTACCTCTACTACCACCCTACCTGTTCTTCCATTCTACCTCTACTACCATCTTTCCTCTACTACCATCCTACATCTACCCCACCCTCCCTGTTCTTCCATTTTACCTCTACTACCATCCTACGTCCACCCCCCCCCCCCCCACTCTACCCCCACCCTACCCGTTTTACCTCCCTACGTCTACTACCACCCTTTCTGTTCTTCCATTCTACCTCTACTACCATCCTACATCCACCCCACCCCCACCCTACCCATTCTTCCATCCTATGTCTCCTACCACCCTACCTGTTCTTCCATTCTACCTCTACTACCATCCTTCCTCTACTACCATCCTACATCTACCCCACCCTCCCTGTTCTTCCATTTTACCTCTACTACCATCCTACGTCCACCCCCACTCTACCCCCACCCTACCCATTCTTCCATCCTACCTCTACTACCACCCTACCTCTACTACAACCCTACCTGTTCTTCCATTCTACCTCTACTACCATCCTACCTCTACTACCATCCTACATCCACCCCAACCCAACCCTACCTGTTCTTCCATTTTACCTCTACTCCCATCCTACCTTTACTACTATCCTACATCTACCCCACCCTACGTCTACCCTTTCCTATGTCTACCTTCTACTTGTTTTCCCAGCCTACCTCTACTACCACCCTACCTGTTCTTCCCTTCTACCTCTACTGCCATCCTATGTCCATCCCCCCCCCCCACTCTACTCCCACCATACCCGCTCTACCTCCCTACGTCTACTACCACCCTTTCTGTTCTTCCATTCTACCTCTACTACCATCCTACATCCATCCACCCCACCCCCCACCCTACCCATTCTTCCATCCTACGTCTACTACCACTCTACCTGTTCTTCCATTCTACCACTACTACTATCCTACATACACCCCACCCCCACCCTACCTGTTCTTCCATTTTACCTCTACTACCACCCTACCTGTTCTTCCATTTTACCTCTACTACCATCCTACCTCTACTACCATCCTACGTCTACCCCCACCCTACCCATTATTCAATATTACCTCTACTACGATCCTATCTCTACTATAATCTTTTGTCAACCTCAATACTGCCTATTCTTCTATCCTACCTCTATATACCATCTAATGTCCACCCCACCATACCTGTTCTTCCATCCTAAGTCTACCCTTTCCTACGTCTACCCTCTACTTGTTTTCCCAGCCTACCTCTACTACCACCCTACCTGTTCTTCCATTCTACCTCTACTACCATCCTATGTCCACCCCACCCCCACCCTACCCATTCTTCGATCCTACGTCTACTACCACTCTACCTGTTCTTCCATTCTACCTCTACTACTATCCTACATACACCCCACCCCCACCCTACCTGTTCTTCCATTTTACCTCTACTACCATCCTACCTCTACTACCATCCTACGTCTACCCCCACCCTACCCATTATTCCATATTGCCTCTACTACGATCCTATCTCTACTATAATCTTTTGTCAACCTCAATACTGCCTATTCTTCTATCCTACCTCTATATACCATTTAATGTCCACCCCACCATACCTGTTCTTCCATCCTAAGTCTACCCTTTCCTACGTCTACCCTCTACTTGTTTTCCCAGCCTACCTCTACTACCACCCTACCCGTTCTTCCATTCTACTCTACTACCATCCTTCCTCTACTACCATCCTACATCTACCCCACCCTCCCTGTTCTTCCATTTTACCTCTACTACCATCCTACGTCCACCCCCACTCTACCCACCCTACCCATTCTTCCATCCTACCTCTATTACCACCCTACCTGTTCTTTCATTCTACCACTACTACCTCTACTAGATTCGTACATCCACCCCACCACCACCCTACCTGTTCTTCCATTTTACCTCTACTACCATCCTACCTCTACTACCTTCCTACATCCACCCCACCCCACCCTACCTGTTCTTCCATTTTACCTCTACTACCATCCTACGTCCACCCCCCCCCCCACTCTACCCCCACCCTACCCGTTCTACCTCCCTACGTCTACTACCACCCTTTCTGTTCTTCCATTCTACCTCTACTACCATCCTACATCCACCCCACCCCCACCCTACCCATTCTTCCATCCTATGTCTCCTATCACCCTACCTGTTCTTCCATTCTACCTCTACTACTATCCTACATCCACCCCACCCCCACCCTACCTGTTCTTCCATTTTACTTCTACTACAATCCTACCTCTACTACCATCCTACGTCCACCCCCACTCTACCACCCTTCTCCCATTCTACCTCTACTACCATCCTACCTCTACTACCATCCTACGTCCACCCCCACTCTACCCCCACGCTACCCATTCTTCCATCCTACCTCTACTACCACCCTACCTCTACTACCACCCTCCCTGTTCTTCCATTTTACCTCTACTACCATCCTACGTCCACCCCCACTCTACCCCCACCCTACCCATTCTTCCCCCACCCTACCCATTCTTCCATCCTACCTCTACTACCACCCTACCTCTACTACCACCCTACCTGTTCTTCCATTCTACCTCTACTACCATCCTACATCCACCCCACCCCAACCCTACCTGTTCTTCCATTTTACCTCTACTACCATCCTACCTCTACTACTATCCTACATCTACCCCATATAGTCTACCCTATCCTACGTCTACCTTCTACTTGTTTTCCCAGCCTACCTCTACTACCACCCTACCTGTTCTTCCATTCTACCTCTACTACCATCCTATGTCCACCCCCCACTCTACTCCCACCCTACCCGCTCTACCTCCCTACGTCTACTACCACCCTTTCTGTTCTTCCATTCTACCTTTACTACCATCCTACATCCACCCCACCCCCACCCTACCCATTCTTCCATCCTATGTCTCCTACCACCCTACCTGTTCTTCCATTCTACCTCTACTACTATCCTACATCCACCCCACCCCCACCCTACCTGTTCTTCCATTTTACTTCTACTACAATCCTACCTCTACTACCATCCTACGTCCACCCCCACTCTACCACCCTTCTCCCATTCTACCTCTACTACCATCCTACCTCTACTACCATCCTACATCCACTCCACCCCCACCCTACCCATTCACCCATCCTACGTCCACCCCCACCCTACCCATTCTACCATGATACATCTACTACCATCCTACGTCCATCCCCCACTCTACCCCCACCCTACCCCTTCTTCCATTCTACTTTACTACCATCCTACCTCTACTACCACCCTACCTGTTCTTCCATTCTACCTCTACTACCATCTTTCCTCTACTACCATCCTACATCTACCCCACCCTCCCTGTTCTTCCATTTTACCTCTACTACCATCCTACGTCCACCCCCCCCCCCACTCTACCCCCACCCTACCCGTTTTACCTCCCTACGTCTACTACCACCCTTTCTGTTCTTCCATTCTACCTCTACTACCATCCTACATCCACCCCACCCCCACCCTACCCATTCTTCCATCCTATGTCTCCTACCACCCTACCTGTTCTTCCATTCTACCTCTACTACTCGTCGCACGGCTGGTAGAAGGGCGTTAGCGCGCGTTCGACTCGAAAACTACTTTACGAGTTAATCGCATTTAAAGATTTGTTTTATATTTAAACTGCTTTACGTCCCGAAATT